ATGTGAGGGTCTAGGCAATGCCACCGGTTTTCACACAGCCCAGTGTTAGGGTGCTGCAGCTACCCATTCAAAAGGTGACTGTCTCTCTGCTGTTGTAATTACAAAAGCTTAACTGCATGACCTAAAACCTCGCTGGGAAACTGTCTACGGACACAAAGGACACACAGACCCTATTGCTTCAGAACTCGGTCCTTTTTTTTTTTTTTTTGTAAAGGAGTTTTTTGTTTGTTTGTTTGTTGCCGAGTTTCTAGGATCGAAGAAAGAGCAGATCCAGGTTAGCAGTTGGCTTGGAGCATGCCCATTGGGAAAGCTGTCCCTGGAGATTCGCACACAAGTGCCTTACTGTTTAGCTTAGGAAAGGCAGGTAAAAATGACAGCGGTGTTCCTGCATGCATGGTTCGAGGCTGGAAAAGAGAAAGAACAGGAAAGAGCATGCCACCGGAGTCCCTTGAAGGAGGTGTCACCCTGTGTTCATTCTCGTCTGCTTGTTCACCACCCCCCTTGCTCTGAGGGCTGAATACTATAATCACTACGCAGAGAGTGTGGGGAGACTTTATTTTTAACGCTACCGCCAGCATCATCACAGCGTGTGAGATCCAATTTTACACTAAGCATCTGCTCAGCGTGTGGCCCTGCTGCCAGCCCAGCTGCTTTCTCCAAAGCCGAGCCCTGCTGAAATTTCATGTTTTACCCCAACAGAGTATGCGATAGGAAAAACGGAGGAGTTGAAACGTACACTCTCAGAAGCTGGCTTAACAAATGCATAACTTGTGGTCCGCTATTCACCAGGGAGCCGAGAATGAAGACTGCCTGGGAGCTGGGACACAGCTCCTAGAGACAGCTAAGTCTCTCCCCTCTTTCTAACTAACAGAAGCTGATTTCTGGGGCGGCCAGGCGATCAGCTCAAAGCTCACATTTCTCTTGAGCCGGGCGTGGCCCTGTGACCAGGCTCTGGCTGATTAGAGTGTTCTGTGAGACTTCCAGGAAGGCTTCTTAGACCGAGGGGGTTGGGGGTGGGCTGATGTTGTCTTCGCTGCCCAGTTTCTCTACACTGGCTGTAGAACAGATAGGAGGGCCGCACTTGGGGTAATCCTGCTGGTTTCTGAGGCAATTTTCAGATAAACTTTATGTCGAGCTTGTGGCACAGAGGTAGAAAGACCTTAGGCCTTACAAACCTTGCTGAGTCATGCAAAGCATCAAGTCTTGACCTGCCTACTTTAAGGTTTCCTCCCCTCCCTCTGTCCCTCCTCCCTCCCTCCGTGCCGTGCCTTCCTCCCCTCTTTCCTGTCTTCTTTCTTTCCTGAGAGAAAATACCTTTTATGGACAGAAAAGTCACTATGTTTTGATTCTATATCAGAGCAGTCATATACAATTTTCTAACCGTTGTACCAATCCGAGGTTTATCATTAACAGAGACTCTATTCTAGGTTTTTATAGACGGAGTGCAGGGAACAGTGCCTGGCATCTAGTAAGTGTGCATAAAGGCTGCCTAGTAATACTCTACGAGGGAATTACCATATTGACCAATCATCTCTGAGTTTACACTCTGAGGGAGAAATGATCAAATTTTAATGTGCCTCTGTGCTGAGTTTAAAAGACCTTTGTGTAGCCCAAGCCTGGCCGCCCTATTTGATCTGTGACATTTGAATATGCATTCAGTTGTGTCTCCATTTATTCCTTCAGGGGACATTTATTCAAGTATCTGTTATGTGTGGAGCACAGCTTACCAGGGTGGTAATGTCCTAAGAAACGAAAGGAGGACCCTGACTTTGAACTGACGGGGTTAGAAAGCATGTATAACAGCAGTACCAGCATCCTTCAAGCCCTTACTGTGTGGATCCGGTGTTTCCATTTATTGTTGGTAGCAATTCACTGAAACAGGTGTTTGTACAGTTTTCCTCGTTAACCTAGCATAGCTAGAGATGTAATAGGAAACCAGCAACTGCTGTAACGTTAAGAGTAAGTAAAGAAGCTGCAGTAAGGTGAGTTCAAAGCTCTTGACCTCAGGCAAGCAGAGCAGGTCATCATTTAGAAGCAGGACCCTGCCCTGTAGTATAGGGCAGCTCTCTGAGTGTGGTCCTGAGACCTGCAGCCGAGAATCATCTGGGGGAAACTGGAAAGGCAACCCCATTGGCCTTTTGAGGGTGGGGCCCTGGAGTCTGAATTTTAATATTCTTTCTAGGTAATTTTTACATCTATCATAGTTTAAAGACCAGTATGGCAGCTAATGAGTAAGTGAAATTTAGCACGAGGGATAAGCAGGCACAAACAGATTTAGAGCTCAACCGCAGACAAAATATGCGTGCACAAAGTTTCAGTTAATTTTCTACTCTTCAAGAAAGCCAGGAAACCAGATTTATTATGTCTCTTCGTTTGGAACTTATTTGAATATTTGCAGAAATCTCAATACATTTGAGAATGAGCTTTAGGGTTGTTTTCTCATATCCCAGGAATCTCTTGTGTGTGCCTTATTGCTGTTGAGAACTCACAGGCAAGCCAAGCAAATGAATTGGAGACTGCTAAAATGACACAAATAAAAACAAGTATGGGAAACTTGAAAACTGTTTTATAGTGACACACACTTATTTTATTTTGTTCATTTCTGAAGTGTGAAAACCGAGTATGTCTGAGTTATGGGTATGTAAGATGTGGAACCAACATCTTCCTCACCATCTCAGCATTTCCAGCTAGAGCTGCTGTATCTGCACAGAGTTCTCTTCTGCTCTAAATCCCATGTCTCATCCGCCCAGGTCTTTGTGCAGGCTGCCAGAAAGTCAGATTTTGAGAGGAAATCTTTTATCTTCAAATATAGAGACACAATTAAGCTAAAAAAAATTAAATAAACAGACAACATAAAACCTGCTTGCTAGGTGGGGTCCAGCCCGGGAGCCCTGCTGAGGAGGCTGGAAAGGCTGCCAAGAGCAAGTCTGATGCATGCAGGCAAGCAAGTCCCGTGGTCACAGAGAGGCTCCTCTGCTCTGTTCTGAGGAGGCTCCCGATGCTAAAGAGCAAGGAAAAAACAAAACAAAAACCATTGAGAAATGTCTAACCCCAGCTCACCTTTAAGTCATAACTCCAAGTGTAAATGGAGATTTTTGCCATCAGTTTTCTTTCTGTGGTTTCTACAATGAACTCAAAGCCAATCACAAACTCAAATGTCTGGATGACACTGAGGGATCACTATTGTGGACTTGCGTCAAAATTTCCAGTTCTCTTTCAATTATGTTAAATTGAGTGATATGCACTTCTAGTCTTCTTTCTTGAAAAAGCAATCTATTTTAACTTTCCTCTTCTATCTATCTATCTATCTATCTATCTATCCATCTATTATCTATCTATCTATCTATCTATCTATCCATGTCGAAAATAACACAGGCAAGTGCAACAAAGCAACAGAATGGCTTTCACATCCCCTTCCCTTGACCCACCGAAAGCAGGGGCATTATCTTCACAGGAGGCACCATGACTGAAAAAGGAGGTCATAGGAACCAGGGCCTGGTGTGGCGGCACTTACAGGGTCACCTCATGTAACCTTCATTGCCTCCCAAAGGTCCCATTTGATATTAGCATATGACTCTCAGATTAGGTTTCCAACATGAGTTCCAGGGCTAGTCCTCAGACTTCTAGGCTATGGGCTGTAAAGGAGGAGGGAGAAGTTGTCTGTTCTCAGAAAGTAGTTTTTTTCTTCTCAGACAGGTATGTAAGCCTGAGCTGGTTGTAAACTTAGAATGTACATGGCTTCAAACATGGGATCCTCCTGCCTCAGTGTTCCAAGTGCTGAGATTTCAGATGTATATTACCACCCCTGTCCTCCGCCAACTTCTCATCACATCCTGACCTTAAAAACTGGACCGTGGGCCAAGAGATCTGTGCTTAGCTCCGACACTGCCATGTACAACTCAGTGAGTTCTAGAACGTCTCTCCTCTCCAGGCCTCTATTTTTCTTTCTGACAATGAGGAAGTAAGACCAGCTTTTGCTTTACTAATTTGGATCTGTGCTTTTTGGAACACAGACAAGAGTATGCTATTCCTCACTGGCATTTTCCACACTGAAGATAATAAAATGCTAAGGACTTGACAGAAAACTGCAAAAGCAGAGTCCTAGGTTGTTTATAAAGGACAGGAGTACATCTGGAGGCTACTGTGTTGACACAGAGGGTACCAGTGAGCCCTGCTCAGAGAGCACCTTCTAGGAGGCTCTGCTTCTATGTCTTAAAAGTGGTCAACTAGCCACTTCCCTGTACTGTCTGTCACCTTGGTGGGGGATGGGGAATAGGATTTCAGTGTGTGTGTTGGGAGCCGACTCTTAGCCGAAAGTGGCTATCATCTTTACAGCCATCTCGAGCCATATACCCTGACAAGAGACTTGTTTCAACAGCCTGCAATAGCTGAGCGCACTCTGATAAACATCTTGTTACACTGTTTAGTGCCCCCAGCTGCCAGGTGCTCCTGGTATCCATGGCTACAAGGCACGTGACGTAGTGGCTTCAGTTGAGATTGTCCACGAGGGCAAGTCACGTGGTAAAGGGTATAAATACCCAGGATTTCCCTTCTATAGGGGAGTAGAAGAGTAGAAGAGTAGAGGAGTCGAGGAGGTAGAGGTAGAAAGTAGGAGGTAGTAAATAGTAGGAGGTAGTAGGAAGTAGGAAGTAGAGGAAGGAGAGAGAAAGTGAGAGGTGTCAGGAGACTGAAGGAGTGAGAATATAGTAAGAAGAGAAGAGAATAAAGAAGACTTGAAGAGACTCCACCGGACTCTGGCTTGTATCTATCTTTTGCGTCTCTCGCCCCTTTTTTCCCCTTCCTCCGTCCCCACTCTCTCTTGCTAGACCCTGACCTGCCGACCAGAGCAGCAGCACCGGCCGGCCTTTACAAAGTAGCAGAACCCGACGGCCGTTACAAAAGAAACGGCCGTTACAAAGTGGCGCCCAGACGTGGGGCAGCAAGAACCAGAGACCCAGTGAGGGACGTTACTGGAAGGAGGATTGACTGAAAATTCAGAGGTGAAATAGAGGTGATTGCCACAGAAAACTGCCGTGTGGAGACCAGTAAGTCATAGTAATAATGGGGCAAGAAATAAGTCAGCCTGAACTCAACTCTGTGGTTTTGTTCTGTTGCTTGCTGTTTACGTGTATCAATTGTCTGCTTTTGTTTCGCTGTTTAAATGTTGCCTTTCATGTCCAAAAGAAAAAGAAACACATAGAATCCAAAATAGGACCAAAGGTTGAAGTAATCAATTTGTCAGAGCCAGATTGTGCTGACCTAGAGGAAGAGGCAGCCAAATATTTTGATCCTGAATGGCCTTCTTCCCGAAGGCCCCCTCCCTATGCTCCTCCACCTCCAGACACTCCTGCTATGGAGATGGTGGTCGAAGATCACAGAAAGGAGTTGCAGGACAAAATTTCTTTTCTTAAACAACAAATTTCTCTCCTTAAACAACAAATAGAGTTAGAGGAAGAGTATCAGGACTTAATTAATCAGATACAAAAATTAAAGACAGGGAAGAGGTCTCGAGAGGGCAAGGAAAATTCCTCAGGTCCTCGAGTTCCTCAACCTGGAGTCCAAAGGCACCCCCTGTCCTCTGGTTTCAGTTCAGCCACAGATCAGCCAGAGGAGAGAGAGGTTAAGGTTTTCCCTGTATCAGAGACTAGAGATCCTCAAGGAGTTGTGTGGAGACATCACACAGGGTTTAACTTTCAAATTATTAAAGAATTAAAAAATTCAGTGTCACAATATGGTGCCACTGCTCCCTTTACTCTTGCAATCTTGGAATCTGTTGCAGAGGAGTGGCTGACTCCTGGTGATTGGGATACTCTAGTGAGAGCAGTTCTTAGCGGTGGTGACTATCTTATTTGGAAATCAGAGTATCATGAGAATTGTAAAGAGACAGCTAGGAGAAACATTCAGGCAGGTAATGGTTGGTCCTTTGATGCCTTAGTAGGAGAAGGGCAATTTGCTTCTAGTGATAACCAGATGCAATATGACCCAGGCTTATTCGCTCAAATTCAAAATGCGGCCATGAAGGCTTGGCGCAAACTCCCAGTAAAGGGAGACCCTGGTGCATCTTTGACCTCAGTCAGACAAGGACCTGATGAACGATTTTCTGATTTTGTTCATCGATTAATGACAACAGCAGGGAGGATTTTTGGTAATGTAGAGGCAGGTGCAGATTATGTGAAACAACTTGCATATGAAAATGCCAATTCTGCCTGCCAAGCAGCCATTAGACCCTACAGGAAAAAGACAGACCTTACTGGGTATATCAGACTCTGTTCTGATATAGGGCCCTCCTACCAACAGGGCTTAGCTATGGCAGCCGCCATGCAAGGACAATCAGTAAGAGACTTTTTGGCAAGTAGAGACAAAAAGGCCTGTTTTAAATGTGGCAAGCCTGGACACTTTTCAAAATATTGCAAAGCAGAAAATGAGTTAACCCAGAGACAGCCCAGAAAACAGCCTGGGCTATGCCCACGTTGCAAACGTGGAAGGCATTGGGCTAGTGAATGTAGGTCCAAGACAGATGCACAAGGAAACACCCTTTCCTATAATCAGGGAAACGGGAACAGGGGCCAGCCCCAGGCCCCGAACCAATACAAGCCAAAGCAGGCTTATGGGGCAGTCAGTTTCATACCGACAAACAACAACCCCTTTCAGAACTTAGTCGAGCAACACCAGGAAGTGCAGGACTGGACCTCAGTTCTGCCACCCACACAGTATTAACCCCAGAAATGGGACCTCAGGCCTTACCCACTGGAGTGTTTGGACCACTCTATCCAAATGTGTTTGGCCTGATAGTGGGAAGAAGCAGTGCTACTATGGAGGGACTACAAATTTTTCCTGGAGTTATAGACAATGATTATCAAGGTGAGATTAAGGTAATGGCCAAGGCAATACAGAATATAGTCACTATTCCTACAGGAAGGAGGATAGCTCAACTATTGTTACTTCCATTGATTCCTACTAATCACAAATCTTTAGATTCTGAAGGAAAATCTGCTGCAGATAGATTCTGGCATCCTAATACTAAAAAGAATTTTGCAACAGTCCTCTGGAAAGACCCATTAACTGGAACCTGGAATGGGCCAGATCCAGTGCTTATCTGGGGAAGAGGATCTGTCTGCATATATTCCCAAACGGCAGATGCCGCACGATGGCTGCCAGAGAGACTGATCAAACAAATAGACAATAATAACAAATCCAGGGAGGAGAAACCCCCTGAGAAGCGTATTTATACCACAGCAGACCCTTCCAGTTCCTTTGTCTGAGGTGAAACTGATAGGCATCTTACCTGAGAAAGGTATGGTGACACCTCCTTCCTTGGAGGATGTGCTCACACACCGAGGCTGTTGAGAACTTTGGGTGACAGAGGGTAGCGTGAGAGAGGACCAAAATAAATACAGATCTCCCTGGAAGAGTGGTATTTTTATAGAAACATGCGGTTTCATGGTCATGTCCTCGCCATAAAGAGCTCTCATACTCCCCCAGCTCTCCATATTGTGTCTGTCCTGTAATTTTCAATTTGTTCCCACCCCGCTTTCCACAGAACTATGTGTCCAGTGAGGGTCACGCTTCATTTCAGTTCATAAACTTTTAAGACGTCTTCCAGCCCAGTGGTTCTTTGGTTTTTTTGTTTGGTTGGGGCTTTTTTTTCCCCTAACAGATACAGATTTTAAAAGTTTGATGGCTATGTGTTTGCCTGATTTATGATTTAATTCTAGAAAGTGATACTGGTTTCTATCTGTCATTGGGGATGAGCTTCCCTTGGCAAATACATCTCTGGAAGTTAAAAATAAGTGGTTGGTTTGAATGAAAACCAAAACCAACCAAACAAACAAACAAATAAGCAAAAAAGTAATGAGTCGTACATATGTGCAACATAGAGTTGTACATTGTTTTGTTTGGGGGGTGGGTGGTAGGGGAAGGAGAGAGGAGGTTAAAAACCAACTCAGTGAAGGGAAAAGAAGGGAGTTTCATATCTGAAAGTAGGATCCACCTTGATCCAGAAGCATGAAGCAGAGAGCTAACTGGGAATTTCTTGAGCTTTTGAAGTCTCAAAGATCATGCCACCACTCCCCCTGCCCCCATGACATATCTCCTCCAACAAGGCCACACCTCCTAATCCTTCCCAAACAGTTTCACCCACTGGGGACCAAGAATTCAATATGGAGGCCATTCTCATTCAAATCACACAGTGTGAACACACACTGATTTGTGTTCAACAATGTAAAAGTTTAAAACAAACAAACAGACAAACAAACAAACAAACAAAAAACCCAAAACCAAACCAAACCAACCAAAACAAAAGTTTAGTTAGTTCTTTCTTTAGCTTTGATGTTTACCTCTGATAACTTTTCATTGCTGTTTCTCAGACATGATGGCAGTCCAGGGACTGGTGGGTGTGGGATGCAGGTGGTGGTGTTGCTCACCCCTGGATCATATCAAAGATCTCAGAATGGTTATCTCTAGTTGTATTATGAAAAGTCAAGGTTGGCTCAGATTTATGAGGGCACACTATCATAAAAGGCAAGCAAACAAGCAAGAACATTAAATCAACTTTGAGGCTCTTCTGTGTTAGGAAAGCTGTGATCTGCCTCTTGTGCATGCTTTAATGCCTTGGTAGTGGATGTCAGCTACCACCACTGTGAAAAGGGCACTCGACCTCAGTTTGTTCTTCATCACCAAATGAAAAGGCTAGGGGTTCAGTATCCAGAGTACTTTAGGCCTATGAAAACACAAAGCGTTTTAGTTTTATTTCAAATCTGTATTTTTAAAACCTTCCTCTTCTTTGGGATGTGTGGGGGTGTCTTGTGGAACAGGGCATTGCAACAAATTCCAGGCTGGCATGGAACTCACTATGTAGAACAGGGTAGTCTTGAACTTGAACCCATCCCACTGCCTATGCTTCCCAAGTGCTAGGACTACAGGCATGTGATACCACATTCTGCTGGAGAATTGCTTTTAAACTTCTTCTCTAAGGAGTTCCAGTGATGGAGAAATCATGGTAAGTCATTTCAACAGTTTGGCTCTCCCCATCCTCATCTCAGGAACTGGACTGCTAGGCTTGGCCAAGAATAAATGCAACTTGGGTTTCAAAACCTTGCCCGGGCAGCTTTTGCTTCTGTGGGCTTTGAAGACCAAGATGTGAAATGTAGCAAACCTCAGGCAGCATTTACCAACAATTGTTTTGGCATCTTAGGCAAGAAATTCCTCATGGCCAGGATTCCCAGAGCCTTCCCTTTCCTTGTCTGAGAGGCCGGAACCACACAGCCTCTGCAGCCCTCTTATCTGCCTAGACGGTCTTTGATCCACCCACCTTAAAGGGAACAGGAACGTGTTTGTTTTCAGGCACTGTTGCGCCCTACATGGAAACAGTTTAAGTTGTGTATTAGACACGGCAAATTAAAAACATCTAAAAATAACACCTTAGAATGGGTTGTTTATCATTTCTTTTGAATAAAATATGAATTCCGGTTGGAGGAAAAAAAAACTTGACAAAAATAATCTTGCTGAGGAAACTCCTCTTTAGGAAATTTGAGATTTTTCATGTCCTCTCCAATCTCTTCCTGTCCTTTTTGCTATCCTTTAAAACCATAAACATTATATTGGGATCAATTAGACCTATTAAAATCTTCTGGAAACAGTTCAATTCTTGTCATCTTAGAACTTGCAAATTGGCATTAGCTAGTTCAATATTGTAGTTTCTTAAGGCACACAGAGCTTTGGAGTCATCTGTAGGGAGAGATTAATTTCCATTTGTGCTGTAATCATGATAGAAAGCAAAATATACCCCCTAGGGAAGTTGTTATGTATCTAATCATCTCCCCTGGAATAGACAACATTAGTAAGAGAATGTAAACTTTTAGTCAGCTCATTGTTAATTTCTCAATATGCATATATGTAATGATCCATTCTTTTAAGAGAGAAACTGTCTGGACTTTTGGAACTTGTGGTGGTTTGAAAAGAGACTGGCCCTCCTTGGTTCATACGTGTGAAAGCTTGTTCCACAGTTGGTGGAACTGTTTGGGAAGGATGAGGGGGTGTGGCCTTGTTGGAGGAGGTGTGTCACTAGGGATGGGCTTTGAGGTTTCAGGAGTCCATACCATTTTCAGTTAGTTCTTTCTTTTTCTGACTCTAGTTGTTGTCTTAATATGGAAGCTCTTAGTTACTGCAACAGTGCCCTGTCTGGCAACCTGCTGGTCATGATTCACTCTGTGAAACTGTAAGCAAGCTCCCAATTAAATGATTTTTAAAAATAAGTTGCTTTGATCATGGTGTCTTTTCACAGCAATAGAAAAATAACATAGGTAGAGCTCAATTATACTGGAAATATTTTACTTAATAAGTAGACAGGAATGAAGAAATTGAGTTGAAATATTTTCTATCGTTTCTGAAAATGAATCTAAATTCCAGTTCAAATCAGGTGGGAAGCATACATTCTAGTTTCTAGACTCTAGAATCTCCATGAAGACTCTCATAGTCTAGCTTTGGAACTGGGGCATGAGCCCTTCTCTTCATGTGGGAACGTTAAAGAACCTCTCAAATCATTTTGATTAGATTGGAACCAAACGAAAGCCCAAGTTTTTGTAGTTCTTAAAAATGAGAATGTGAGGCCCAGAGGAAGGTGAGGAGACTAGAGCGTTTCTGGCTTGTGATGCTAGACACATCAATATGACAAGTCAAAAATAAGGTTTCCAATGTAGCTCTCTGGTTAAAGCTCTACACCAAAACGTTATTATTTCTATTGGGAAAGATGTTGGAAGTTGGATCACTGGATGAATTTTGGTGTTATTATTGAATTAAAATCTTTGCTTTCATCCATTTTTAGGTTTGTGTCCATACGCAGAGCCCTAACATGGCCAAAACAACAGCATATGATATGGTTTTATGGGGACTGAATGAGAAAATATGTGGTGTTCCTTTATTCCATGAAAATGGAGTACTTTTCTTCACTTTCCTTCCCGTTTCTGTGTACATTAACCTGTTCCTAATAGCTGAATGTTTACCAAGTGGCATTCCTAAGAAGATTTATACCTTAAAAGTATGGAAGATTTACTTATGTTGCCTTTGTATTTCCCTTTAATCAGATTAATAACAACAAAGACCGATTGGTGACTCTGGAGGAATTCCTGAGAGCTACAGAGAAGAAAGAATTCCTGGAGCTCGATAGCTGGGAGACACTGGATCAGCAACAGTTATTCACTGAGGAAGAGCTTAAAGGGTATGAAAGTATGATTGCTATGCAAGAGAACAAGCTTAAGAAGAGGGCAGACGAGCTGCAGAAGCAGAAGGAGGAGCTGCAGCGCCAGCACGACCACCTTGAGGCCCAGAAGCAGGAGTGTCAGCAGGCTGTACTGGAACTGAAGAAACTACAACAAGGCATTGCTCCATCAAGGCCAGCAGGAGAGCTGAAGTTTGAGCCACACACATAAAGTCCTGATGTCTGCCAGAACTTGGAAGAAAACCGTTGACTCAACATCTGTTTCATCTTTCAACATTCCTTCTTTTCTCTCCACTCAATAAATACTTTAAAGCACAATTGGAATAAAGGAAGAGACTTTTAAGTAGGAAAAAGAAAAGAAAATTTGCAAGTCACCTGCTAATAGAGGTCATTATCTCAGTGTCCTTAGTATAATAACTTCAGTAGCATTAAGAACCCGTATATTTCGTCATTCAGTGTACCTCTCCAGGTGCCTCAGGTGTCTTGTTTCATGAGTGTTCTTTTCAGCCTTATTCTTCTCTGCATGATCTGTTCGGCCTCTAATACATAAGCTTCCCACCTTGGGCTATTCCACCTGACTTTAGCCCCTCCCCACGCCATAGCCAAGTGACTTCTTGTTCTCAAACATTTTCTTATTGTCTGAAACAATTCAGATATGTAGGTTACCTCTAAAAACACTCGTATACAATTATTTTTTAAAGAAAAAAAACAACAACACTGTTTCCTTTCAGTTCTTCTTCATGTTTTAGTTTTTTTTAAAAAAATACATTCTGGGACAGAAAAGTGGTTCAGTGGTTAAGAGCATTCACTGCTCTTCCAGAGGACCCTGACTTGATTTCCAGCACCCACACGGCAGCTCGCAACCATCTATAACTCCTGTCCTAGGGGGTTTGATTCTTTAGACACTGTATGCACATGCTGCTCAGACTTGCATTCAGGCAAAACACTCACACATGCAAAATAAAAATAAATAAGCCTTTGAAAATCTGCCTTCTGTAAATAACCACAGCAAAGACACAGAATCATGTGGTATATGAGAAAAGTGCAGAGAGAAGCAGCTTTCTGCCCAGCTCTGATGATCTTCCTCCTCTGCCCGGGTATTTTCATCAGAAGCTCTGTTTCATGACCTGTAAGATGAGACCATTGGAGAGATAATTCCTGAGGTCCCTTCTAGTTTTAAGGATATCCTGTGAATTAGTATCTCCACAAGAGAGAAATAGTCTTCCAATACCGGTTAGCTAGGGAGTACAGCTGACCACAGATGGATGTTCAGATTATCCCCTCAGTTCCTTGTTGCAGAGAATGAGCATAGCCTAACCCACAGAAGCATGGGCGGGCACATTTCTGCTGGTGGGTAGACACCCTTTCTTCTGCCTTCTCTAGTCCTTGGGCCGGTTGATCTTCAGTTGCTCTTAGATGGCTCCATTGTGTGTTCTTGGTTGGCCTCTCCTTGGGTTTGTGAGACAGCTGGAGGTGGGATGGGGTTTAAGTATTCAACTTCTGTCCTGAAGAAGACTAGATATATATGTGTTAGAAGCAGACCATAGATTTCTCTCTGTAGTGAGGAAAACCAGGAGCAGTCTCACCAGGAAAACTGATCCAACCAATGGGTTTGTTAGCCTCCCAAGAGGTGGGGTCGGGGGGGTGCCCAGGGAATTCAGAAACAGGCATGTATAGAGAAATGCTCTTATTTGTCCCTTGCTAGACTTGTTTTTTAGAGTATGGAGAAGGCACACCAACCTCCTTGATGACAGCAGTCTGAAGAGCTGGGATAGAATATACTGTGTTAAAAGGTTAATGTGGTGCCTCGCTGTGTGTTGAGCACTCAAGGCACTGCTAATGGGAACTTTCCGGGGAGAAGGGTGGGTGTTATTAACAGGAAAATATGTATGAGGATCCCTGAATGAAGGCTTTATGTGACAGAGTTGGAAGATTATAGGACCCCGGCTGTTGGGGGAGGGCAGAGAATGGCACTGGGAGGCAGAGAGGGAGAGAAGGAGAGGGGTAGAAATCCTTTGTGGCCTGCCTGTTTGAAGGGTCTAGAAGGAAGGTTTGGGGAACACTTTGCAAAATAAGAGATGGAAGAGAGCCAGCAGCCTGAAACTCTAAGTAGAAAATACTAGAGATAGTGGTTTGTGTTTTTTTTTTTTTTTAAAGTAAGTTTTGAAGGTGAGGTCCCTCTGGGAGGGAAATATGGAGAAATAACTGTCTTTGAACTTGGGCCACGCTGATCCAGTGATCCAAGCTGGGTTACCTGATCTTTTGCAGCTAAGGGCCCTGGCTGCTCAGTCTGTACAGGGCTTGGAAAACGACATTGCTTTTTACAAAACAGCCAGGACAGAGTGTCTCTGGCCCTAGTGCCTTAGGTTCTTAGACGTGTGCTGCACACCCAGCTGGCTCTGTCAGCTAACTGTCCCTCTCCAGGCCATGTTTCCCTTAGATGTGTCGACCTGGGCCTCCATCTTAGACTAATCCGGCCGACATCTGACTGGGTGACAGATGCTGTGCACATTTCCTCACTTACCCCTCAGAATGATCCTCTGAGTGTGAAAATACTATTCCCATTCCATAAATGTGGAAACTGAGGCCTAGAGACTAGATTTTTTTCTCTTCTTACCCCCCACCCCCAGAATGACCCAGAGCCAGGGTTTAATCTAAGCGATTTACTGCTGTGTACCCAGTCTACCACACTAGTACTCGATCCTGTACCTGCTTCTCCATAATTCTTACCTGTCTGTCACTCTGATTAAAACTATCTCAGGATGGGCCTCCAGTGTGTTCTACTTTCAGGCTGGCCATTAGATGCCTTCAGAACGGTCTGCCCTCTTCACTTTGCTGATGCTCATGGGTCTGCCTGGTTCCTGGGTCTTGCTTCTTGTATTTCGTGGACCTGTTGCTTATGGAGGACCGTGGCACTCTCCTGAGATTTCCTTTAGCACTACAGGTTGCCCCGGGTTCTACAGAAGAGTGGGGCTCTATGGGCATTGTGGCTACCAACAGACAGGAAGTGAATTTTGGGCAGACAAGGTATGCATGGAGAATTAATACTGACTGGTGTGGGATCAGGCCCTTCATAGTCGCAGAAAGAGATGAGTCTCTAGGGTTGACTTTTCAGATGAGGCCAGGAGTGACCTTTCCCCCTTTTGTGTGTCAGGCTCCCTTCTCCTTGCTGTATCCTGGAAGATTCTATAGCAATTTGTCTTTTTTTCCCCTCAGACAGGTTTTATGTAGCCCAGGCTGACCTCAAACTCACTATGTAGCTAAGAATGACCTTAATCTTGAACTTCTGACCCTTATGCGTCCATCTCTCCAGTTCTGGAATTACAGGTGTGCTTTATCAGGTTATATGGTGCTAGAGATCAAACCAGGCCTTTGTGCATCTTAGGCAAGTAAGTATTCTCCTAAATGAGTGACATTTCTAGCCCCTTTGTCTTGAACATAGTCTATGGTATCCTTTACCAGGCTAGATTCTGTGCTCTGACACTTTGTTTCTGGGCAGAGGATCTTAAGCTCTCACTATCCATCACAAGTATGTGTCAAATTTCTAAGAGCTGCTGACCCTTCTAGCCCATCCTCAGAAGGGACTCTATGGCCTGAGGTAACAGCCAGGCACCCACAGTTTTATCAAAAAGTGATCTAAGTTCTTCTGATACACAGCTGTGGCTGTGACTAACCACTCATGAGCTGAAGGGTGGGGGTGGTCCTGAGCTGAGGGCATTGACAGTGAGTAGGAACAGAGCAGGAGGCCCAGTAGCCTATTCTTAGATGAGATAGTCAGTCAAGTAAAGACACAGGAGTCATGAGTGTGCTATCCAGGGTACCTAGGAGAAGATAGCAGCACAGGGAAAGCTGGACATGTGCTTATCATAAAAGGGTTCTCTGCAAGAAAGGTAAGGCACACCAGGGTGGACATGTAGGTTGGTTGGTTTGTACAATGTCACCAGGCTCTAGGCTATAGAGGCAGTCTACCTCCTTAGTACCTTGTTTTGGTTTGAGGTGAAGGACTATTTGACCTGTGGGATGTCCAGGTCAATTGGAGGAGGTATGGTTCTGGATTTGGTAGGCTCTTGTTGTACCTTTTGCCATCTTAAGAATGGGCCAGTCTCTCCATGGCCAGAAAATAAGATGCTACAGAGGCAGATACAGTGTTTACATCAGAGAAAGGAGTCTTTCATGTCACTTTGCATGTTAAAGTGCATCAATAAAGAATTTAAATCTGATTGGAGAAGAGCTGGAGAGTTGTCACTGACCTAGAGGAACCAGAATATGTACTGAAAGGTACTGTGGGTCAGGGCTGTCTAGAGAGAAGCGTGGATCCAAGAGGTTTTCCTGGGTCACAGGACACTCTTCGGGATAGCCCCAACAGTGGCAGGTGTGGAGTAGAGCTGGCCTGAGCCTAGGAGACAAGCTCTGTATGCTGAAAACGGGGCAATGCAGCTCTTCGGAGCTCAGGAGATTGTGAGTGAGTCTCAGGCATCGAGCACCCAGCTTCTTACACTGTTGGTGTTTGTTTGCTTTGATTTGTTCCTATGCCCCAACTCTGCCCTCTTGTAACAAGAAAGTATATAGCTTCCTCCTCCTCCTCCTCCCCCTCCTCCCCCTCTTCTTCTTCTTCTTCTTCTTCTTCTTCTTCTTCTTCTTCTTCTTCTTCTTGTTCTACAGAAGTCCACCATTTAGAGACATTGGGACTTTTAATAGAGATTTTAGAATTTTAGACCTTGGATATCTTAGAGAGATTTGGGATATTTTAGAGAGGCTTTGGATCTGTTTAAGAAATGTTGACCTTTTAAAGAGATTTTGAATGTTTTAAAGAGACTCAACTTTTAAAGCATTTGAATTTTTAAGGATTGTAGAGTTTTAAAAGTTTGAATATTTTATATTGTAGTATTATATGAGACTTGGGAGACAAGAAAGGAAAGGATATGGTTGACAGGAGTCAATTGTCCTGGTCAGATTTTTTTTTATCAACTTGACACAAGATAGAATCATTTGGGTAGAAGAAACTCCAAGAGAAAATGTCCCAAACAGATTGGTCTGTGGGCAAGCTTCTTGTCTTAATTAGTGATTGGTGTGGGAGGGCCCAGCCCATTGTAGGTGGTGCCATCCTTGGGCAGGTAGTCTTGGGTTGGATAAAAAAAAATCATTCTGAGCAAGCCTTAAGAAGCAAGCCAGTAAGCAGCACTCCTCCATGGCCTCTACATCAGCTCTTGCCTCCATGTTTCTGCCCTGCTTGACTTCTACCTTGACTTCCTTCTAGAGGGACTGTTACCTGGAAGTATAATACACCTGCTCCTCCTCAAGTTGATTGTGGTCATGATGTTCTATAACAATAGAAACCCTAACTAA